CTGTGGAAGTACTCGTGAATGCCGCATAACTTGGCACCACGTCATTACATCCCCTTCACCGAGATAATGACTCATATAGAGTTTGGACAGAGTCTCCTTTGTACCGGAGCACTCCCAAACGCATAACCTATGCACATATCAACCACTTAACCATTTCAAGGTCCATCCCCATCAATTAGAACTTAATGCTTGACCAATTACATCATCCCAAAAAGAGGGCTTAGGAGCTAAAGGTTAGGCAGAGTTATATTTAATTTTTTTTTGAAAATTTTGGAAGAGGTACCGGTACCTCTTACACATGGTACCAATACCCTGAGCCTTCTGTCTACCAGGTCTTTTCCATTTGTTAGGTACCGGTATTTAATCACTTAGGTATCGATACCTGAGCCTGCTGTCCATCGAGGTACCGATATCTGAAGCCTTGATACCATACTTGAGTCAACTAGAATCTAGTTACTAGTACCCGTAAGTCAAGGTATCGGTACCTGGACCATCCAACTGCGTGGTACTGATATTTAATCACTTAGGTACCAATTTATGGGCCTAGATTTCCCCCCAAAATTTTTCAATCTTCAACCTTTTATCATCCAATCTCTTTTAATGCACATTCATACATTCATTAACATGAATTATAGTCCATAAAAGTTCATTACAAAACTCTTTACACAATTTTATAAGTTCAAAATAAATTACACAATTGATTTACAAAATGTGATTTAAAGCCACATTCTAGCTTCTTCTCAACAAGGACCCATTTGAGGGCCGTCCATCAGTATTTGTCCTGCATCTGAAATGTTGTTCTCATAAATGGTGAGTCACGTTCAATAGGGTATTTTCTAAATAGGCTACCTCTCAACTTAAATACATATGAAATGTTCACATGCAATTCAACAAACAATCAAACATTCATTCAATAATATGCAACTCATAAATGGATTCCACAATGTCATGTCATGTCATGAGATATACTCACACATGCAATGCAACTCGAGTTCACCACCGGCTTCCATAACACATGCAATGTCATGCATACGCATCTGGGCATTCCAAGCCTCCACCGTTGATGTTGAGCATCTAATCACCAATTTACAAAATTTTGGGTCTTTCTTCAGATGGGTAATTATGAACTTCCACTAACGGGTACCCAACCAACACGACACCTATGGACTTCCACCAACAGCTGCACATACGCCAACACACTTTATGAACTCAATATCAATAAAAGTGTGTATCCAAAATTTTTGGCATCTGAGGGAAAATATAGCCCTTATTGCTAACCCCGACCCTTGTTTTTCAATGCAACTCATGCGACTCAGTCAAACCTAAGTCCAACTTTTTTGAGCCCACATTTCATCCACCAAGAATTTTATTTGATCAAATCATGCACACACACCCACACTTATGCCATATGCCCATGAATGTGATGTTTCCCGTGCATATATAATGTAATGTACAATTACAATTACCACCTCATGTTCAATATGTCATGAGCACATTCTAGCTTTCTCAAAGCCATGAAGAGTGAGTAGTTTCTCATTCACTCTTTAGTAAAAGGTGATGAACATGTAAATTATCATTTGAAAGTTATATTTGTGCATTTGATTTATGCTTAATGATTTATCTTTCTATTGTATATTGAATGATTGAATGCATCTAGTATAGTTAAAAGTGTTTTGTATAATCATGAATGCCCTATAGACAAGTTAATTCTTGACATAGGAGAATTTATTGATTTCTTGAAAGTACTCAAGTTAGGTCTTTATGATAACTTTTCAATCTTCATTGCCATTATACTTTAAATAAGAATGGGATAACTTAACAGTTACTGGATGATTTGTAGGATTGGTTTCTTGTTTATAGACGAGTTAAGTCTCGGCATAAATAATTCTTGCAAATCTTTACAAAGACATCGGAGTCATGCTCTTTATTCACACATTTCATCTTTATCCTCTAATTAACTTACTATTGACTTAGGGGTTAATTGAGCTGTTTACAAGGCACAAATATAACAACCGGATGAATAAATACATGTCCAGATCCTCAAGCTAATAGATGACTTTCTCATTTAAGAGAATCTTATATTTTCTCTAGAAAATTCTATCATCATCATAACTTCAAATTTCAAGGGTTCCAATCACTTTGGTCTCTATCACTTATAACTTCAAAACACCAATATTAGTTCCTTGTATATTTGACTCTGGACTTAACCGGATTATAACTACAACTTGACCACTTATACTTGGGCGTTTACATTTTAGATAAAGTTAACCTTCACTAGCCTCAAAGTCTTGCCTCGCAAAATCTGCTCTTGACTATCCATGATACGCATCATTCCCTCCTCGAAGGGCTCATATGCATCAATAACTAGCTCACCCCAATCTACCACATGCGTAGGATTTGGAGTATACTTCTGAAGCATGGAGACATGGAACACCACATGAACACCCGATAAATTTAGCATAATGCCAATAGATAAACGACTGTGTCAACCCTATTGAGTACTTCAAAAGGCTCAATATGCCTTGGCGACAACTTTTTTCGCTTCCCGAACCTGACCATTTCCCTCTGAGGCATCACCTTAAAGAAAATGCGATCTTAAACCTCAAACTTAAGAGGTTGTCACTGCCTATCAGCATAGCTCTTCTGCCAACTTTGAGTCATAAGAAGACGTTTTCGTATCAAGTCCATCTTCTTCAAGGTGTCTCTAATCAAGTCTAAGCCCATAGAGGGTCTCTCTCCAACCTCCGTCCAACAAACCGATGAGCGACATGATCTTTCATAAAGTACTCCATATGGTGTTATCTGTATGCTCACTTGATAACTGTTGCTGCAGACGATCTCCACTAATGGTAAGTGCTTTTCTCAACAACTCTTGAGGTTAAGGACGTATTCCGAAACATGTCCGCCAAAATTTGGATGGTCCTCTCTAAATGACCGTCCATCTAGGGATAAAAAGCTATACTCATTATCAAATGTATCCCTATGGCCTACTGGAAACTCTCCCAAAAATGGGTAATTAACCTAGGGTCTCAATCCGATATTATAGATACAGGTACCCTAAGTAACTAGACTATATCTCGTATGTACAGTCTGTAAAATTCCTCTAATGTGAAGGTCATCCACACAACTAAAAAGTGTGTCAACTTTATAAGCTGGTCCACAATCACCCACACCGCGTCATGCCTCTACGCAGTCCGTGGTAAATGGTTTACAAAATTCATAGTGACATGCTTCCGCTTCCACTCAGCCACCTTTAAAGGTTAGAGCAACACTGCTGGTCTTTGGTGCTCTACCTTGATCTACTGACACATGAGACATCTACTAACAAAGTTTTAGACGTGTTTCTTCATCCTGCTTCAATAGTACTAGTGACAAAGATCATGGTACATCTTTCGTACTGCCTAGAAGCACAACAAAATTGGAGCAATGGAACTCCTTGAGAATCTCCTCTCTTAGATCCAACAATTAGGGAACCATAACCTTACCTTGAACCGAATACTACCATCTACATGAATGAGCCAGCCCTCGTCACTTATACCTGATTGTACCCAGTCTTTGATGAATAATATCTCCATGTCCTACCCCTAGGACTTGATCACCCTGCTCAGTAAGGAAGGTGTAGCTGTTAGATTTTTCAAAGTGCCCTGAGCCTGATCCTCAGAGTGTAGCTCAAACTGTCCCACAGTCTTGAGCATCTGTCACTCTTGGGAAGCTATACCAGCCAAGACTCCTTGCAACTTCCAGCTGAGTGTATTAGCCACCACATTTGCCTTATCAGGATGATAATGCAAGGTGAAGTCGTAGTCTTCAAAGTACTTCATCCACCTATGATGCCTCATGTAATGGTCCTGTTGAGTGAAGATGTACTTCAGACTCTTGTGGCCTTAAAAGATTTTAAACTGCTCTCCATACAGATAGTGACACCAAGCCTTCAAGGAAAAGACAATGACTGTCAACTCCAGGCCGTGCGTGGGGGTAGTTTTGCTCGTGACTCTTCAAATATCGAGAACCATAAGCCACCACCCTCCTATACTGCATCAAAACACATCCAAGTCTATCCTTGGAGGTATCACAATAGATGTGTACCTTTGTTCTATCTTCGAAACTATTAGAATAGGAGTTGAAGTTAGCCTCGCCTTCAAATCTTGGAATGCCCTCTCACACAAGTCATCTCACTGAAACTTGACCTCCTTCCTGATCAACCTAGATATAGGTGCAGCTAATTGGGAAAATAAAGCGTGTAATTATGTAATTACATTCTCATACTTTGGACAAAATAGAAATACACACAATTGAAAATGATTAAAGGATATTAGCACTTGTTTTGAAATTGAGATGACTCAGATCTGGATTCGAATATGTCATAGATTACCTGCTTGTCGGTGGGGCTATTAAACGATCTTGATCGCTTGCGAGCAGTTCAAGCTCGGCTTGATTTTAACTTAAGTTGGACTTGCTCATATTATAAAAATGAGCCGAATCTGAACAAATTTTTAGGGTCTTTTAGTATTCGAGCAGAGTCCGAACTATTCGCAAGCTGACTTATTTTTTTTACTTGTACATCATATATATATATATATATATATATATATATATATATATATATAAATTTAAGTTTGTATATTTTTATTTTGATTTAGAGGCATTTTGTGCTTACATTTGTGTACATTTTTGTAAAATTTTTTGATTGAATATTTAATATTATTTTGATTTAGAGGTATTTTGGTTTGAGTTTAATTCAAATTTGGTTTGAATGGAGTTTAAATAATATTTTGAATTGAATAGATAAACCCAAACAGAGTGTTAGTAATCTTTAAATACCACGAAACAAACCTAATCATAAAACTCGACTGGACTGCTTCCTTGCTGCCCTGTGTGTGTGGCTCAAAACGAACTAATCATAAGAAGCATAGCGCCCGTAAGAGCAGAGAACGACGTGTTCAATAAGTAGAAGCCGTGAGGGCAAGTTCTTTGGCACTCGCTCCAAATGGCCACTGCAGATTTTTGCCACCTCAAACTCGTCCTATCCTCAACCAACCGACCCTACTACCCCCACCCCCGCCACCATCACCCGACGACGACGACGACGACCAACGAACCAGAAGCTTCAACTACTCTTATCCACTCTCTCTCCTTAGCAATAAATTACGCGTTTCCTCTTCTCACCATGTATATAAACGCAATGTTTGCTCAAAACGACGCTTCAACTGTGGCGTTTATTGCCAAACCACCGATATTCAATCTTCAGACATATCCTCCAACCTCGAATTCGCCGCCATCGTTGGCAAAGATCGTCTTCTGAAGGTAATCTCTTGCTTCTATTTTTTTATCCTCTATATTGATTTTATAGTTATGCTATTAATTGGAGAAAAAATTTGTGGGGATTATTTCTCGTGGAAACAAGCGGATTGAAGACGAAGACGTTTCAATATTGGCATTTTCTTGCCTTTTTGCTTTTTCTACTATGAAGAGAAATCTGTTTCAAGCAGAACGGCAAAAATGGAACTAGCATGTGGACTTTCATTTATAATTTCTAAATAAATATTCACAACCAAACCAACTAGTTGCTGTGAATTTGGATTCCCTCAATTTCAAACTTTGTCTCTGGCTCCACAAGTGTGGCTCTACATTTTGAATCCCTTACTTTTGACATTTGTCAGTTCGATCAAGTTTAATCATCCAGGTACTACTTGATGTCAGTGGGACACATTGGAAGCTACTAACTGGGTATAAAGTATGAAGTCAACCTGAATGATTAAATTTGAGTGAAATTGACAAAATGTGTAAGTGAGAGGATTTAAATCCATGTTTCAATGGCTTCTGAGATCTAATGAATTTGAAAGTGGATAGTTGAATTCAATTGCACTGTATGCAATCTGCAATTAGGTTTTTGATATGGATGAATGTTGTTTTAGAAACCATATCGTGCAGACATCAGGTTTTGGTGCTTGCCGATCTTATGGAAGGTGTTCTTTTTTGTTTACAATTGCAGGTTCCTATTTCAAATATAAGAAACTTCTGCATTATTGCACATATTGATCATGGGAAATCGACACTAGCAGATAAGTTGCTTCAAATGACGGGTACAGTGCAAACGCGAGAAATGAAGGAACAGTTTCTTGATAACATGGATCTAGAGAGAGAAAGGGGCATCACTATCAAACTACAGGTCTATATCCTGACCTAGAAAACCAAATTAGGGACAAAAGAATACAAACTAAATGTTTCTACGCTTTAGAATATGAAGAGAAAGGGGTATCACTATCATATTATGGGTGTATATGCTGATAAAAATATGAAAAAATGAATAGTATTTCCTCGCCCCGAAAGCCATACAAGCTAAGATTTCTACTGGATATGCTTTAGACCATGAAGAGGCAATTCTAGCAGATCATATTTAGTGCTATTTACTACTTTCAGCTGCATGAAAAAATATAATTAGTAGCTGACTCTAGACTGCTATCTTTTTCCTTCTAAAAAATTATAAAATTGACATTTGCATGATCCTGGGTTTTGGTGAAATACCGAGTCTAATAACAAGGTTGTGGGTTCGAATTTGAGAGGTGTCCCCTTTGTGCAAATATTACCAAATGTCAGGTTAAAGAGGGTAAACTACTTATGAGTCAAGCCATCTTGCATCATGATTGTGGATGATTCTTCCTTTCCAGCTATAACATCATCTTAGAGTCAAATTTCTTGAGGCAGCCACCCCAAATCTGGGTCCCTTTGTAACGGCTTGCATACATGAAATACCTTCCTATGGGTGCATTTTATCAATTTTATCCATCAGCACCTCATAAATGACTTTGCTAATGCTTAGCAATGCTGAAACATCCACCTTACCAAGCACTCTCTCTCCTAATATAAACTACATTAAGAATTTTAGACAACTAACTTGTCAATTCAAGGAACTATCTTAATTATATAATGACCCCAAGGCTTTTGATCTCCAAAAACTCATCAAAATCACCTTTATGGAATGTTACTCACAGTGTTCCTATAAAGATGTTGAAAAATTATCTTTAGGGTCATAGCCCCTTATCAATTATCTTGCTAAAATTGAAGTCTATGATCTTCTCCCAACATATTGGCATGTGATGAAGTTTTCCAAAATCATTTATCTTGTTCCACAACCACAAGGCACAAGTGTGCCACAACATGTACAACTGTTGTCCTTTACATGCTTCCTATTTTCAAAGCACTTCTCCTAAACTAGTTTGCTTGGCAATAGTTGATTTGATTGCTTTAGGCGTTTGATAGGGAGTGAGGTCTTTGGAGAAGAAAAACAACATCTTTTCATATACCTGTCTTCTATATCCGTCTATATGTTATCCCTTGCTGCTTCTCTAGTATCAAAGTTGTCAAAACGTGATGTAGGATAACAACGAACTGAAAAAAAAAAATAGCACTGTTTAAGGCTGTGAACAATACCCGCCAATAGTAAATTGGTTAGGAATAATACTGTGAACAATACTCTTGCTTTAGAATCACTCCTAGGATTATTTAAGCACCACACCTAGGGTTTAAATTACATCACACAATCCGCAAGCATTTATATAAAGGACCAAGTATTTCTAATCCTAAAACATTACGATTACAAAGACTCTAGGACTTCAAAGACTTTAAGTTACTTTTAGATTAGTGTGCGTGCTAGATCTTGCACAATATAAACACGAGAACAGATCTCTCCCTTGGTGAACTCGAGTGAGTCAGTCGAGTGGTCAACCCTACTGCTTGGAACAGCCTGTGAGGTCCGGTGGTAACCTAGAACGGTAATGGGAGACCCTCGTGGATCAATGGAACGATCCAGTAAGGCTGAGGAAGGTTCCTGGAACAAAGAAAGACAAGTTAGAAGGGCGCTGGAGTGTTTTTCGGCGTATCCCCTCCGACGATCAAGTCAGTTTTTGAGAGAGAGGAAGAAGAAAACACTGAGTATAATTTGTAGCAAAGGTTTTTCGTTACATACCATCTTGCCTTTTGCGAGGAGTATTTATACCTCAAATACTCATAATTGCTGTCAGTGTGGTCAGTAGGTGATCATTAGATACAGGCAACGTGCGCACTGATTCCTATGAGGAATGTCTTCTCTTTTAACTGCTTGGGACCCCGAGCAACCAAGGCTGTGTCATCGGCATGCTGACTGTTCAATGAGCTCCTTTTAGGGAGGATGCAATAAATGTCCAGCCTTAGAGACATTTATTGCCTTTCACTTCTGAGCCTTACCGCATTGAATGCGGTCTCATCAAGGGAATGGTATAATTAAATGCTTGCTTTCCCAAGTCGTGTGTCAGCAAGGGCATGCGGTCTTTCTGTCTCTGATGTGACATAATATGCCACGCGTCCATTCCCCATTGGCTGTGGCCCCTGCCTTCCTGTGTCTTCTGACACCAATTGTGTAAGACGAGATCATGATAGCTAATTTAGCCTAGCCTAGGCTAGTGGCCTGTACATCAATAGCCTCTGCTAGAGCAGAGAACGCCATCCTGGACGAGGGTACATTTCGGTACCGAGGAAGAGGTACATCTCGGAGTCGAGGGAGAGGTACATCTCGAGCCCAAGAGGGGAGATGTACATGTAGCCATTCTTCTTTTCCCCCCTTCTTCTTTGCGCAAACCGTGTTAGACAACCATTCTGGGAACTGTATCTCTCGAATGGCGTTGGCCTTCAGGAGTTTGTCGATTTCTTCGTTGACCGCGCAGGCGTGATGCGGGGCCATGCGTCGTGGCTTCTGTTTGACTGGCTTGTGCGCCGAGTCAACATGCAGTTTGTGCGTGATTATCTCGGGGTCTACTCCCGTCATTTCCATTGCGTTCCAAGCGAACACGTCTGCATTTCTCCTTAGGAACTCAATCATCTCCTCTTGTTCGGCTGCGGGCATCGCAGTTCCAACTAAGAAGTATCTTTCTTCTTCTCCCTCCACCAAGGGCACCTTCCGGAGGTCCTCCACCGACCACTCAGTTGGGTCTATCCGGGGGTCATCCATTCCTGGACGCCCGGACTGTGATTGCTATTTTTCCATGATCTCTTCCGGTGCTCGCCCCTTTTCTTGGGTGAATGCCCCGGCTCTAACAGCTGAATAAAAACAATTTTTTGCGAACGCTTGGTCCCCCCAAATCTCCATGATACCTTCTGGCGTGGCGAATTTTAGTTTTTGGTGATAAGTGGAGTGCACCGCTCCCAACGCATACAGCCATGTTCGTTCCATGATCACATTGTAGGGAGAGTCCGTATCAATCACAACAAACTCGGTGTTGATGATGAAGGGACCCGTGACAACTGGCAATGTGATTTTGCCTATAGGCAGGGCGAACGAGCCGTTGAATCCGATAAGGGGTGTCCTGACCTTGGTGAGGTCCTTGAGGCCAAGACCCATCCGTTTTAAAGTCTCAGAGTACATCACTTCCGAGGAACTTTTGGAGTCTATCAACACCCTTTTGACGTCGAATTTACCTATCTTCAGGGTTAAGACAAGGGCGTCGTTATGAGGAGTCACCACGCCTGTTAAGTCCGCGTCGGAGAACGTTATGCTGGGCTCACCAGTCCTGGCCCTTTTACTGGGTGGCCCCCCATCATCCTCGGCTATCTTCCTTGTAAAAATTACCCTCTTGAGATCGGACTCGAGTTCCTTGGACGTGGGGCGATCAAGTGGACATACATGGATGACATCTATGACGTTGTCCAGCTCCTCGTTCGGGGCAGGAGTTTGTCTCTCTTCCGGCCTGGGCTCTATGTATTCTTTCAAGTATCCGTCTCGGACCAATCTTTCCAAGAACGATTTGTATACCCTGCAGCTTTCGGTGCGATGTCCGAAATTCCGGTGATAGGAACACCTAACTTTTTGATCACGGGTGGAGGGATCGCTCTGCATCCTGGGCGGCCACTTGAAGAATGGCTCATGCTTTATCTTGTGGAGCAACTTGAAGATGGGTTCCTTTGAACGACCCCCCCGGAGGGGGTAGCAGTCCCTTTCGGGGAGTATCCTCCCGCTCCCTCTCTTTTCTCTTAGATTGGAGGGTTCGGCCCTTGCTGCTTCCCATCTCGTCCTCGATCCTTGAGTATTTGTTTATCCGGGCCATCAGCTCGCCCATATCCGAGGGAGTCTTCTTGGTCAGGGATCGGTACAGGTCCGTGTCCCTTGCCAAGCCGAGCCTGAAAGACGCCGCTGCCATGACTTCCGAGCAGCCTTTTACCTCATTAACCTCTTCCCAGTACCGGATGACATACTGGCGAAGGGTCTCGGATTCCCTACGTCTGAGCGTTAGCAATGATCCAACGTCTTTAGGTCGCTTACTCCCCGTAATGAATCGAGCCAGGAACTGCCTCGTCAATTCCTTCCACGATCCAATGCTGTTGGGGGGAAGCGCCTCGAACCACTTCATCGCAAAGTCCCCCAAGCTCATAGGAAACACTCGGCAGAGGAACCGTTGGTCTGAATGATAGAGGGACATCATCTGCTTGTATTGCCTGAGATGGGCTTCGGGATCGGACCGCCCGTCATAAGTTTTGAACCTCGGCACGACGAACTTTCTTGGAACCTCCATCTCTCCGATCTCCCTGGTAAAGGGTGTTTGTATGTCCTCGTCTTCGACCTCATCCTGGGCAGCCTTACTTTTTCTCCTGGATTCCAACCGGGCTCTGAGATCAATTTCCTCCTTGACGGGATGTCTTCTGAAGTCCTTGAGTTCATCAATAGGCCCCCCATTTCCTGGGCACCGTGAGGATAGGGTTGAATCCTCCTCGGACTCATCTCCCTTCCTCCGTCTTGACAATCCTCGCCGGAGGTCGTCCAGGGCTAAAGGCCTTGCCTTCCTGGAATGGTCGTTAAGAGGGTGCTCGTTGACTCTCGGTCGCTTTGGGGCCCTGGAGCTTTCTGCCTTGTTGTTTAGATGATTCCTTAGATCCTTCGTTTTCGCCTCCCGGGCGGGGAGCCCACGAGAAAGGAATGAGTCCCTCGACCCTTCATCGGAGGCGGCGAATTCGTTGAGCCGGCTTAGGACGTTTACATTGTCTTTTTTTAGCTGTCGTAATCTATCGTCAAACTTTTCTTCGATCACCTCCGCCAGCTGACGAGCCAAGGGGGCTGATCCTCCTGATCTGATTCCCATACTGGTTTGAGGGGTAACCCCTCTTGACTGAGTAGAGGCATTTTTATTCCCATCAGTGTGATCCCTCCCTCCATGGTGACATGGAGCTTGTAATTCGAGACTTATTTGCTGGGGACCTTTCCCTTTTTGTCGAGTATTCACCATGATCACTGTTCTTTATAGAGAAAAAACTAGGAAAACTAGTCGTTTCTCACAGACGGCGCCAGATTGTGCGTGCTAGATCTTGCACAACATAAACACGAGAACAGATCTCTCCCTTGGTGAACTCAAGTGAGTCAGTCGAGTAGTCAACCCTGCTGCTTGGAACAGCCTGTGAGGTCCGGTGGTAACCTGGAACGGTAATGGGAGACCCTCGTGGATCAATGGAACGATCTAGTAAGGCTGAGGAAGGTTCCTGGAACAAAGAAAGACAAGTTAGAAGGACGCCGGAGTGTTTTCCGGCGTATCTCTTCCGACGATTAAGTCAGTTTTTGAGAGAGAGGAAGAAGAAAACACTGAGTATAATTTGTAGCAAAGGTTTTTCGTTACATACCATCTTGCCTTTTGTGAGGAGTATTTATACCTCAAATATTCATGATTGCTGTCAGTGTGGTCAGTAGGTGATCATTAGATACAGGCAACGTGCGCACTGATTCCTATGAGGAATGTCTTCTCTTTTAACTGCTCGGGACCCCGAGCAACCAAGGCTGTGTCATCGGCATGCCGACTGTTCAATGAGCTCCTCTCGGGGAGGATGCAATAAATGTCCAGCTTTAGAGATATTTATTGCCTTTCACTTCCGAGCCTTACCGCATTGAATACGGTCTCATCAAGGGAATGGTGTAATTAAATGCTTACTTTCCCAAGTCGTGTGTCAGCAAGGGCATGCGGTCTTTCTGTCTCTGATGTGACATAATATGCCATGCGTCCATTCCCCATTGGCTGTGGCCCCTGCCTTCCTGTGCCTTCTGACACCAATTGTGTAAGACGAGGTCATGATAGCTAACCTAGCCTAGCCTAGGCTAGTGACCTGTACATCAATAGCCTCTGCTGGAGCAGAGAACGCCATCCTAGACGAGGGTACATCTCGGTACCGAGGAAGAGGTACATCTCGGAGCCGAGGGAGAGGTACATCTCGAGCCCGAGAGGGGAGCCTAGCGACCGATGTACCATATCAGACCGAGGGATACGTGTCGGTACATAAAACGTACTGGATGCCACTTGATCCCTATGATAAGTACCTCGGGGGAGAGGGGACTTGTGAACCGATGGGTACGTGATCTCAGTAACAAGGATTAGTGACATTGAGGACACGTGTCTTCATCTTGGAGTATTTCGGAAATGTCCCATCAATTAGGAAACTAACATAAACAAGAATTAGGACTCTAAACTCGAGAAACATCCTATACAAAAATTTGGCCCAAAGATGACTCACGGGTTATACTATAACTAATTCAAGGAAGTCGTGAAACAGGGAGAGTCTTACTGAATGAGTTTCAAACCTGTCCTCTTCGCTTCCCAAGATATTTAGGGAAAAGGACAGTAGGCCACCACTTGCTGACGTCGGAACACATCCTCAATTAAAGGGTATTCACATTGGACTTAGTTGGAAAGGTAGGTGTTTGACACGCCCCTTTGCTTGCGAACTTTTTTAGTATGGTGGTTTGGAGGTCCTATTCCTTACGTTTCCTGTCGTCCTAGGCTTCACTCTTTTAACACTTACTTTTTAAAGACATGCCCTTGTCCTTGTCTCAAATACCCTTCACTCTAAAAAATCTAAAAAAAGAACACATAAAATATAATGTCAGCAATGTGACTTAAACTAACTCAAAATAATATTCATATATGGATCTTTGTCATGGCAAGTCTATTTGATTATTTTTCACATATTTGAATTTGTATCTCCTTGAGCATCTTATGGATAGTATCACTCTCCTCTCGTTGGATAAAACTTGACCTTGAGTTTTGAGATGTTGAAGTATGAAACTTGTTAATGTTGAGAGAGAGACATAAGAAAGAAAGAATGAGAAGATATTAACCTACCTTCCATTTCATCTCATACATATATGTATATCAATATAACTGAAGATTATTATATTCCTCTTGGGATATACTTATTACATAAATGCCATTCTATATGTTATAACATTCTCCCTTGGTGAATATATATCATATAATCCCAACTTAGAACAAATATTTCTCAACCGAGACCTACTCAACAACTTAGTAAACATATTAGCGAGTTGATCCTCATATTTGACAAGAGTTGTGACAATGTCTCCACGCAACACTTTCTCTCGAACAAAATGGAAATCAACTTTAATGTGCTTTTTTCGCTCATGAAACAAAATATTAGAAGCAATATGAACAACATCTTGATTATCACAAAACAACTTAATTGGAGTCTCGTAAGGGAAACCAATTTTATAGCTTCCAACCATGTTAACTCACTAAACTCATTACACGTGTGAGTCATTGGTCTATACTCTGCTTTTGCACTAGACTGTGCCATCACTGTCTGCCTTTTATTCTTTCACTTAATCAAATTACCTTTTAAGAAGGTACAATAACTTGTAGTAGATCATCTATCTGAGAAAGAACCTGCCCAATCAGTATCTGTGAACCTTTGCAAACTAAGATGTTCATGAGATTTATACATCAATCTAAGATCAGGAGTTCGTTTGAGATATTTGATAATACGGATAACAACATCCCAATGTGATACTTGAAGATCTTTCATAAATTGACTTACTAAACACACTACGTAAGATTTATCTGCTCGGGTAATAGTAAGATAATTTAACTTTCCAACTAGTTGATGATACCATCTAGGATCTGCAAAACATTCACTTTCATCCATTGAGAATTTATGATTTGAATCCATATGAACATCAATTGGTCGACCACCTAGAAAACATGTTTCCTCCAAAAGATCAAGCACATATTTTCCTTGGGACAAGTTAATGCCTTGTTTCGATCTAACGACTTCGATACCGAAGAAATAACGAAGTGTACCTAGATCATTGGCGTGAAATCCGTGTTGTAGAAATTGTTTCAACTTGACAATACCAATTGAGTCATCATCGGTAATTACAATATCATCACCATAAACAACAAGGATCAACTTGATTTTTGAATATGAAAAATTTCTAATATAACCCATCATTTGCTTTATAAAGCACAATAATGCCAATGAATCAGATAATCATCTCCAGCATTTAGCTGCCTGCTCCCAAGGATTAAAATTTTATTTCGGTGAATTGTTTCGGCCACCTAAAACATAAAAACGTCTCAAAAATGTTTCCACATTTCAAAAACAAATGGAAACCAATAGAAAATTTGGGAAATTATTTTCAAAACATTCCAAAAAATTATTCAAAATATACCAAAACATCTCGAAACGACTAAAAACATTGGACACACACCAAAACATCTTGAAATATTTCGAAACACCTTAAAGCATTGGAATTTCAATTCAATTAGTGTCTCATTTTGGTCTCTTTAGAAACTAAAACGTTTCCATTATTTTAATCATTTCGAAACAAAATTTTGATCATTAGATACTCCCCTCCTCCATTGATCCGCCCCAAAAAGAAGTGCTTTATCACCCAAATATTCTTAATAGGTGCCTTATTCGTGTTTACAATATAGCCCGCTAGTCTTTCCTCTTTTTTAGGCTTACACAAAGTAGGTGCATCTTGTCCACATAGCATTACACTTCTAGTCAAATAAGTACTTTTGTCTTTGTTTCTTTGTTCTAGAAAAATGAGGTTAAAGGATTAGTTGATGAGTACCAGTGTGAAAGGTTAGTGATATGAGCAATCAAGAACTCTTACATGGGACTGATGCCTTCTTATTGTGATCTTAATAAGACATGCTTATCTTTTCCAAAGTGCTCAATGTTGTTGATTTTGTTGCAGGCTGCTCGAATGCGTACCATGTATGGAAATGAACCATATTGCCTGAATCTTATTGATACCCCAGGGCATGTAGACTTCTCTTACGAGGTTTGTAGATGGATTTGTTAGGTGTTTTATCAATCTCAAGTTAAGTTTTGCTTGGATGTTGTACTAATTCACATCATACCTTCCCTATACATTACGTTAGGTGTTGTATCCATCTCGAGTTAAATTTTGCTTGAATGTTGTACTAATTCATATGATACTTTTCCCCATACTAGTTTAGGCCTTAATTTTGAACACTGTTGTGGGTGAATATCATTTTCACATCTAAAATGAATGGTCGCAAGTTTTTTTTTTTGGTTTATCTTTCAAAGTTTTATTTAAGAGCTAAGAAGCATGGACACTATTAAGAAGGTGATATAACCATGTCGATTACTCACATTTCTCGGACACTTTTGAACATGTATCCAATATTCTTTTAGTGGTGCAGCTCTTTTTTAGGCCGTATCTATGATTAAAATATAAACATGTGTTGGATTGTAATCGACAAAACTCAAAAATTTAACAAATGCTTATTTTATACTACTGAAGGATATATTTTGTGAAGACTACCAAAGTTAAAGTTACACTTAGAATTTTGCTAATAAAAGCAGCGATTTGTAAACAATTGACTGTCAAAGTTTGTAATTATATATGTTTATTACTCTCAGTGTATTAAAATCAAAGACCATTGACTACTATGGTCACCAAGTCAGAAAAATGATATTAAAGTACTAGATATGTGATATACTTGTTATGAAATGCTATTTTCTTATGTTGTATTGTACTATAATTATGTTAGTATATAGTGAAATATTTCATAAGCTGATATATAAGTGTTGGAGTCTTGAAGATTTACTTTCCTATTATATTCTACTCTCCTAATATTATTCCAGCGCAATTAATCGGCAATTGGGCAACTGGTTAAACGATATCTGTTTGTAAATAAATCTCTCTCTTTTTCGTTATGAGTAGTATTGTTTATCAGAAAAGGATTGAAAGACAATATCTAGGCTAGCTCGACTCTACCCCTACCAAGGTCCGAGCCCTTGGGTTGGAGGTGAGCGTGGGCATGAGAACACAAGTGCCGGAATCAAACAAAAGGTCCGAACGTCCGAGGACGAAAGAAAAATATAAATAGGTGATAGAGTGTTGGCAACACACATCCCACTCATTATTGTTCCATATTCTCTCTTTTTTTCTCTTTTTCTCTTTCTTTTTCTTTCCAACACCATATATTCCATTCTTCAAGTCTCAACTTGGTGTCAGAGCATTGATCTAAAGCAGAATTGTATCAAAAACATACAACAAACCTCTAGGCAGAAACTCATCATTTTTCAATTGCTGCAGTCATCTTCAATTGACTAATGTCATGTTGACGTTTGCATAACGTCACATTTTTTCGACAACCAGCACCATGTTTAGGATTGAAATTTGGTGATAGTATTTATGGTGACTTTTGATCAATTGTTTTCAAATTTTTTCAGTGGGTTTTTATTTTTTAATGATTTGTCAAAAAATTGGTCCTGATCTTTTGATCGCCTAGTTTTGCATAATATTGCTGTTTTTATTGCCTCTATTTGGGCCCAAAGGCTCTAACTAGACATTGTTGGTGTTGCTTTAGATAACTCATGCTAGTTTGGGTTGATTTGTAAGGTTTCTTGTCTATTAGAGGGTTTTTCTACACAGTGGGTTTATCAACTAAGTTGCTCAAGTGCATCAAACTTCTACCAATGGTTCAGTTGCATCTATTTCTTGCTACCTTGTCGATATTTCTTCTTAGCTTAGTGAGCTCATCCAATTCATTTTTTCCACATTTGTCTACTCCTTCCATTGGTTTTACTAATGGGTTTAACATTACATGTGTGACTACCCAACCTTCTTCGTCTTTTTGGGTCATTGATTCATGAGCTAGGGCTCATATGCCTAGTATTTTTTCTCTATTCTCTAATTTTTCTTCGTCTAATTTCGGTATTATGTTAGTTAATGATTCTTTTCGACCAATATATGAGACTGACAATCTTTGTTGTATTTAGTCTATGCCATTAGCCTTTAGTTTATTTTTTAATTCTCCTTTAACTTGTTATCTATGACTTAGTTAACTAAGTCCTTATAGTATTCAGTAATCTTTTGTCCATCTTTTATTTTTTAGGACTGTAAGACGAAGAGGTGATTAGTTTAGGGCATGAGATCAATCACCTTTACTACTTGGATCACAGAGGTTCTGTTCCTTCCTTGAGTGCTAATGTGTCTCCTCTCTAATGACACTCTCAATTGGGGCCATCATTCCTTGTAGAAGTTGTGTCAAGTTATCCTTGGTTTGAGTTGTTCTTTAGTGTTAGAATGTGAGACTTGTCAATTAGGCAAGCGTCACTGTACTATCGGGTATCGCATATCACAGACACATGCCCCTAACCTGTCCATTCTTAGAAAACAATATCATAAAAAGAACACGAAACGGATATGGGGTTTCTTACTGCTTGACCTAATTCTAGGCTTACAGAGAAAGGTGCATCGCAAGGGTTCGAAACCTTATTGACAGTCCTTTTCCTTTTAGTTCTTAAAGTCATCAGTCTACTTTTTTTCATTATTGTTCATTTAGACATTTGGGATCTTGCAAGAGTTAAAAGTATTTTTGGTTTTCAGTATTTTTTAATCTTTGATTTTTGTTACTTTTTACAATGAAATTTTGGTTCAATTTAATTTATGTATTAAAGTTATTTGGTCAGATAATGCACTTGAGTGTATTCAATCATTTATGAAATCTTTTGTGTTGACCGTGACATTATCCATCTGTTGTTGAACGTGAACTTTGCCATCTGTTGGATATTGTCTGCATCTTGATGTTTAACATGTATGTGCCAAAATCATATTGGGATGATACTGTTCTTATTTCAATTAAGCTTATTAATTCCATGCCTTCCCCCATTTTGAACAAGTTTCCTCTCTTCTTGTTATATCCTAAGACATTGCCATTTAGTTTAACCCCTCATGTCATTGGTTGTGTTGACTTTGTCTATCTACTTGGTTGTGGCCAGCATATACTATCAGCTTGCTTTGTCAAGTATATCTTTTTGGGATTTTCTTGCACTCAAAAGGATTTTCTCGCACCGATCGTGTTATAAGCCCATCTTTGGTCACTACTATGTCATGTCATTGCTGATATTATATTCTTTGAGTCCCTTCTTTTCTATATTGGGCCATAACCTTGCTGCATATTTGTTAGGAGTTGGGGGGAGTTTTTATTGCCTACTATTCTAGTTGCTCCAAGGATAGCCAAGACCGAATTTTACCAAGATCTAGCCTCTTGAGCCATCTGTGACTAACATCTTCTGAAATACTCATTGCATTATGAAAATGTACTCGTAGTTGTACACAACATCATATTTGTTGTTTTTTTTTTCTCATTTTATCTGCTTTTCCCATCTTTTCATTGTTTTGCTTCCTAATTATCTTCCGTGTCTGTTCCTAGCTCTCTTTTAAAAGGGTCTTGTCATTTCTTGGATAGAAATTGGCTATGGATAAAGAAATGAAAGCTTTTCATAAGAATCTGATGTGGGACCTTGCTCCATTATCTCCAGTAAGCAATCTGTTAGTTGTCGGTGCGTATATACTGTGAAGTATCTTCTCGATGGTTTTATTGAGCGTTCAAAAGTGCAGTTTGTTGCCAAGAGCTACAATCAGGCATATGGTGTGGATTATTGAGAGACCTTTTCCATGTTGCTTAGTTTAACTCTGTTAAAGTTTTACTTTCGGTTGCAATAAGTTTAGATTGATCTTTATATTAACTGGATGTAAAGAATACTTGTTTACGCAGATTTACACGAGGAAGTATATATGATTCAACCACTAGGATATTTTGTTTTTAGGAAGAAAAAATTAGTATGTAGGTTGAATAAGGCTTTTTATGGCCTGAATCAATCATCACGTACTTGGTTTGATAAATTTAGTTTAGTTGTACTTCAGTGTGACTTTTAGTGCTTTAATTCAGATCACTCTGGGCTTGTTTGGTTGATGTATTATGGAGGGGATTAAAGAGGCATATTGGCCTCAAACTCCCCAATTTGAGTTTATACTATGTTTGGATGCAAAAAAGTACTCCGTATTACATATAGGATTATATCAAGTTCATGTACTATATATAAACTTTTAACACCATCTACATGCACTATTGAGCCAATTTTAATACCACTTGGGGAGGTGGTATTGTAATATAGCAAAGATGTATTTTATTATTATTTACTATTTTATCCCCCATAAACTATAAAAATTCATGTCTGCATCCCTTTTTATTTATTTATGTGAAAATAATTTAGACACCCTGACTTTTGGTTAATTTTATATTAAAAAAGCTGATTGTAAGACAGTTTTATGTAGATCCAAAAGATACTCCTATATTTTAATTGGTGTATGCAAAATAATATATTAGAGTGGATTGAGGGCATTTTAGCCAACCAAATATTGATACCATGAGATATATGACCTACCCAAACACAAGAAAGGATTGGTATCTATAATCCAACTCTTAGTCTTGCGCATTCCAAACATTGGATTAAAATTGATAGTATTCATGTCCCCATTTAATCTTATGTTTTATTCTCCCGTACAAGAATTAGCCTATATGCATAATCCAATCTCTTTTTTCTAAGGTGGTATCCAAATGAGCCCTCTATGTTTACACGCAAATCCACCACATGCGTCATTGTTCTCATTGTCTATGTTGCTGTTATTATTAGTGACAATGACTCAGATGGTATTGCCCATTTTAAGACCTATCTTGGAAGATAGTTCTACAACACTTTCTTGGCCTTGAACTAGCCGGATTGAAGGAAGGTATTAGTTTGTGACATTGGAAGTATGTGTTTGATTTATTCTCTGAAACTGGTATCCTTAGTGCACAACAAGGAGTTAAATTTCATTTGGAAACATTCAAAACTTTTTCGTTTCTATAGAAATCAAAACGAATCATTGATTAAATATCAAAATTCTTATGTTTCGGTTGTTTCAACCAATGTTTCAAAAATAAATTTTTAAATTTTTTCGTTTTCATCTTGTTTATGAAATATTTTTGATACGTTCCTATTTTCAAGCCTACCGAAACTATGCATCGAAATAAAATTTTGATTTGTGGTGCATGACCAGCTGATTCCACAATGGATCTAACAGTTAAATTGGATACTAAAAGTGACGATGTTTTTGAGGACACTGGGCATTACCGGAGATTGATTGGGAAACTAATTTGTCTCACAGTTACACGTGCATACTCTTCAAAAACTTTATTGAGAAGCTGTCTTTCGTAGTCTTTAGTATTTGAGAGGAGCTCCAACTAGAGGATTGTAATATCGGTAATCTTTCTCCTTAACTATTATTGAATTTTCTGATGCTAACTAGGAGAGCAGTGGTGTTGATACACGCTCTACTTCTGGTTGTTGTATATTTGTTGATGATATTTTGTTACTTGTTGCAATAAAAAACAAAATATGGTGGCTCACTGTAGTGCGGAGGTCGAATATTGCGCCATGGCTTATACCACATATGAGATGTTATGGGTTCACTTTCTACTTCGTGAGATGATTGTTGATGTGCAGTCTCCTATGTAGATGCATTGTAACAACCAAGCTGCCATTATTATTGCCTATAATTCAGTATCCAAATACATTGAAGTAGATTGTCATTTTATTTAGGATCTCTTATACAAAAAGAGATTAGCACCTCTTATGAAAAGTGTGGTGATCAATTTGGTGATAGTTTTGCCAAATCATTGGCACGGTCCACCTTTAGTAATCTTTGTTTAAAGCTGGACATTTTTGATCTCTATGCTCAAGCTTGGGGGAGTATTGGAGATTTACTTTCCTATTGTTAGAGATTTACTTTGCTATTATTTTCTACTTTCCTAATATTGTAATTGTCTTCAATATCAATATAGGATCAATAGGTGATAGGTTGTTGGAAACACACATCCTATTCATAATATTGTTCCATAATCTCAATTTCTCTCTTCTTGTCCTTCAATTTCTTTCCTCTTTCCTAAACCCGAATATTCCATTATTCAAGTTTCAACTATATGCATATCATTTATAGCATGTCCCTAAGGCGTATGTGCCCCACTTTTGTGAGAAATGTCGTGTCCGCATGTCGGCGTTGTGTTGTATAGACGTCCTGGATCCATATCCATGCTTTGTAGTCCAAGAGGATGACCTTTGTAATACTTTTATTGCGAATTGGCACATGCTCTAGTTTGTCCGCAGTTTTCTATAGATGTTTAGCAGTATATGCAGAAAAAGATTTTAGTAATTACAAATGTCTGCAGCTATTGATCTGGCATTATGATGCACTGTTTTAACAATTCCAGGTTTCTCGTTCACTTGCTGCTTGTGAGGGTGCTCTTCTTGTTGTAGATTCCTCTCAGGTAATTTGATCTTTCCTTCCTACATCTGGTTATCTTGTAACTGATACCATTATTTATCATGCCCTTTAGTCTCATAGATGTAGTTCTGATTGTGCAAGTGGTGATGTTAACTGTGCCTTTGCAGCAGCCATCTTTGTGCAGATGACATTGCTAAGATTTTTATTTCTAGCAAACATGTCCTGGCAACAGTGAATTTTGTTTGACGTTATCTTGCAGGGAGTAGAAGCTCAGACGCTGGCTAACGTTTACTTGGCCTTGGAAAACAACCTTGAAATAATCCCTGTAAGGCCATGCAATATAATGAGATTCTCATCTATATGTGTTCTAATAGCTTTCAATTCATTACTTAAAAGATGTCTTCACTTCAGTTAATCATAGCCAGTTTAATTGCTAATGTCAAATCACACTCAGGGACATCATCTGAAATGAATGTTGTGTATAGGATTTCCAAATATGAGTTTTTTTTTTTCCCGGAGAGGGGTGGGGAGGTTTGAAATGGGACCACTAAATATTGGTCCTTTTGGCCAAATTTCTTAAGTTATTCTAGTCATCACAGCACTTCAACTCACTTTTTCTTTTAACCTCATTTTATATAATGCGTGAGTGATGAAAGCACTTAAACAATCAAGGATTGATCTGGTGAAGCTCAAAGTAGAATCTCTGTTCTGCAGTAGCATTCGACTCGCTTAGTCCCCATAGCTAGTCGGTTTGGTTCGGTATTGGGTGCCCTCTTTTTCTGTTGGATTAAGAAGATGTAAATCCACTGGCCCACCAAAGCAAGGCCCTTACAAGGATTTGTTTAAGGTTTCCGAGGCTAGCCAATAACCTAACCATTATCTCAATCTCTGTGCTTAAAATAAACTATGGATCTAGTAAACGATTACTATAAGTATAGCTAGTGATTTTTTTGTTAGAAAATTTTGGAGTAGGTTAGTTGGAGTTTTGGTAATGCTTTAGAATATTTTGAATGGAAATAGAGAATAATAACTTTAGTTTGAGGGTTGACTTTTTGATAGAGTGATTTGTCTGTTGAATATGGATTTTAAGAGTTGCGAAAGTGGTTAGAATGGTTTTGGATGAAAGTATTGAAGGCAAAAACCCAAGGAAAGATGGTAATGAAGGAGAAGAGAGTTCAAACACCATCTCTCTAGTTCCATTACAACATTTTAAAGCATTACCACAAAACTTTTGTTTTCCATTCCCAAAACTCCAACAAACCTACCCAAAAACATTCTACATTACTCCTCACTAGCTATATTCACAGTGATCCTTTGAGAGATCTAGAGTTTTGTTTAAGTGTAGAGATTGAGATAGTGATTAGATTCACTTTTTGATGGAGTGATTTGTGTTATTTTGTAATGGATTTCTAGCATAATGGTTTTTTTGGTACTTTGTAGTTATACATAAATTGGGATGTAGTTGTGTAACCTAATACAGACTACACTCTTCTTATAATCTTGTTTCTTTTCTTCTTCTCTTCTCCTTCTCCAAACCCTAATTACTTTATAATAAAACATGGTATCAGAGCATTGATCAAGATCTAAAGGTTCAAAGTTGTCAAATTCATTGAAAAACCACTTTTGTATTCAACAGTGGTTTACTGTTAGCATTTGACATGCTGACGTCAACATCCAACTCGTCAGAGAATTTCAAAATTCACATGGTTGATTAGACTCATTGATACAGTCCATAAGATGTCCAAGGAAATGCAAATTTGAAGATGTGAAAAACAATAGAATCAACTTTCCATCAAGACAAAGATTCATATGGAACCTTACATTATTGTATTTTGAATCACTTTGATAGTATTAGTATTTTATATGTCATTTTAATAGTTTTTAGACTCAAGGATATTTTTGTAATTTTTTAGAATTGTTGGAATGGGTCATAGTCCAACCCATGGGTCGTATTTTGGGTAAAATTTTAGTGTTGAATGTACTAGAATTTAGAGTTCTAGTTGTAGTTTGTTTAGTTTTCTAATTTTTAGTGATTTAGAGTTTTTAAAATCTTAGAGACTTTAGAATCCTAATCTTTTAGGATTAGGAGTACTTAGAACTCTATATATAGAGTGATATTTTTAATAAATGATAGGGAGATATATTTTAGAAATTTCGGCAATTATATGCCTTTTGAGTTGTGTGATGTCACTCATCCTCCTTAGATTTATTTTTATTTTTGTTGATTTTTTGGAGGCTGCTTGACTAGTCATTTGATTTTTTGAAAGTTTTTCAATTTTTTGGGGGTTCGACTTGCGATCTACGATTTTTTTAGCACTTAAAGGGCTGGTTTTGGGTCGAATCCTTTTGGTGAGGTGCAACTAGGGCTTTCTATGATGCCCAAGTAGTTTGGTTGCTTTTGGCTTGGATTTGTGAGAATTTCTTGCCAATTTTGACATTGTTTGGCCACCGTTCAAGTTTCGGGAAGGTCCTTTTGCATTGGATTTGTGCTTCTGAATTTTTTTAACACTAATTGGTGTTGGTTGAGGTATTTTCTGGTTGTGGCCCACTTCTTGGATTGTGATTTGCTACTATTTTTGTTTTAATCCTATTGTGTGGACATGTCAGGAGGGAGTTTGACTCTTATCGGTATCATAGGAAGTACTAGGGGAAGTGGGTTGAGTCATTTATGTGCTCTTCCAAATGACCCCTCTCTTCAAATTAGTCTAGAGAAGTTGGATGAGAACAATTAATTGGTATGATCATTGGCTTGTTTGTCATCAATCCAAACTATGTCTTTAGATGAGTACTTGACTGGGGAGACTAAGAAGCCTAGTATGTCTTGGTTGCTTAATTCAATGCAATCCTCTATTAGGCAGATGGTGGTTTCGATCCTTCAAGTTAGGCAAATGTTTTTCCCTATCCATTGTATCTTTCAAGAATTGGAGTTTTGGAAAACGATACTGGGAGTGGTAGAGCACATGGTGGTTTATATTTTTTGAATGTGGAAGCTTCTCCCGGCCAAGCTATCTAGGCCGATGGTGTTTCGATCCTTCACCTCTTAAACCAGTGACATAGGCTTTTGAGGCATCCTTCATTTAGTGTCTTAGAGAATGTTTTTCTTAGTTTAGTGAAGATGTGTAATAAACAATTTTTTGTTTGTGATGCTTGTGAATTTGCGAAGCACAGTCATTTATCTTATCCTAGTATTGGTAATAAAAATACTGCTCATTTTATCATTATTTATTCTGATGTAGGGGAACCTTCTCGTGTTGCCTCTCCCTCAAGTTATCGTTGGTTTGTCGCTTATATTGATGGTTATTCTCGTCTTACTTGGGTTTACTTACTACGCACTAAAAATAAAGTTTTCTCTTATTTTTGATCCTTTCATAAAATGGTGGGTAACTAGTTTGATGCCAAAATCAAAATTCTTCGAATTGATAATAGAATTGAGTACATTGATGGAGAATTTTGCTCATACCTCAATGAGAGTGATATTCTTTATCAAATCACTTGTGTGAGTACCTTAGAACAAAATGGTGTTGTTGAGTGTAAAAACCGCCATCTTCTTGAGGTTACCCGTTCATTGAGGTTTACTATGAATGTTTCTTAGTATTTTTGGACTGATGCGGTTCTTATTTTTGCTTATGTTATTAATTATATACCATCAAATTTTCTTCAATTTAAGTCACTTATTGAGTGTATTTTTTAGATTTTTTCAATTCTTTCTATTTCTTCCCTTCCTCTTAAAGTTTTTGACTATGTTTATTTTGTGCATAATTGCAAATCATACAGGGGGAAACTTGATCCTAAAGCTTTGCAGTGTGTTTTTGTTGGTTATTCTCCCACCCAAGAAGGATATAAGTGGTATCATCCATAGTCTCAAAAGATATATGTTATCATGAATGTTAGCTTTTGTGACTTTGGAGTCTTTTTTTTCTACTTCCCAACCATCTTTCCAAAGGGAGAATCATGGTTCAAGGTCGCGGTCTTGGCCATCGACTTGGAAGGCATTAATACACAATGGTCGTGGTGTCGCGGTATGGTATCTGTTGATACACAAAAAATAATTGATAGAAGGCCCAAAAAATTATTAATAAATTATAAAAAATCTTAAAAAATAGAAATAACACCACTTATGCATCATGTCCAAAATGTGTCATCTAACATATTAAACAATGTAAAAATCAAACATCATGATTAGTGTTCCATGTAGGCATCTAAACCTAAATGAATATAATTTCAATATTCAAATAATTTAAAAATATTTTTTTCTGCTTGGGTAAATATAAAAAATTTGGAAAAATTTAATGTGCATTTATAGTACCAAATAAATTAATTAGGGAATATAGTTATATATCAATTAATTGTATTATTTTTGTCAGAGTTCTTACATATTTAGTAGTGAAGGGTTGTATTGTAATTCTCACAATATCAAGGCTAGTATAAATAAGATAGTGTAGGGCAATGTAGCCTACACAACTGATTATTCTCTTTTTCCGTCTCTCTTTCTTCTCACCTTCTCTCTTGCTTCTAGCCTTAATATCCCTTTTACTATTTTGACTTGGTATCATAGCAATATTTTAGTAAGAAATTAGAAGAAAACATCATAGAATCAACCCTAGGCTAGTGCCCAATCTGACGTCAATTTCTAGCAATGACTTCAGCACTTTCTGGCGATGATTGAAAACCTACCTGTTGGTTCGAATTTTTGTCGTGGTATTTATGGTGATTTTTCCAAATTTTTTTGAGGTCATCTATTGGAACTTTTTCATTTTTGAATATTTTTTGGAGTTTTTGGAGTCGATTCTTTGATCTGATTATTGGACGCCGTTTGGGAGTTTGATGGATGTTTTTGGTTCGACTAAGACCCTAGAGTAGATTTGTGATTGACCTAGATGTTTTTGGGTTTTTTGGCTTCAATAATGACTCGGCAGCACTGTTACAGTTCAGGTCTGACCTTGGGTATGTTTCTGTGTACTGCCCAGTTGGTTTTCTTTTGACATGGTTTTGGGGCTGTTGAAGATATCGGACAGGTTATAGAAAGCTATCCAATGTTTGGGCTTCGACCAGAGTTCTGTTTTTAACTCGATTTTGGCTTCTGTGTATTGTTTGGCACTGTTCATTAGTGCAGATCTGTGATTTTCTGGTTCCTGTATGTTCTCCTTTTGGGCATTCTGGTGGTGTTACTTCTGGCTAATTTTTGTTTGACTTCCTCTTGGCGTGGTTGGCATATTTGGAAGTGCTTTGTGCCTCTATTTTGTGGTTGTTCTATTATGATTGTGGTTGTTGTGGATTATCAGTTTTTTTCATTCTTTACTATTCACGGCGAGATCGTGTTATCAACAAGCCATTTTTTTTAATTTTTTGGTTTCTACTTGGGGCTGTTTGTGGTTTTATTTTTTGGTCACATTTTGTGTGATTGGTGGATTATTA